CTCGGACTAGAAAGATTTACAAAACCCTTTATATGCTATAAAACCTTTCAGACTGCATGAAAAGAAAAATACCACTGTATCCATGGACAAATACAGGAGTAGGACCAACGAGGTGCATTTCTTTTCTACGACTGGAAGTCTGCAGGGGACTGGCCTAGCCATCAGGAGAAACAACAAATAAAAATAATCACACTCTCACATTCACTGTGCTATGCAGTCAGCACTTTTCAAGAAGTACCTTATTCGACTTTCACAACTACCCTAGGAGATTTTACTGTTAGTACCCCCACCTTAAAGGAGACATGGAGGCTTGGAGAGACTACATAATCTCAGCAGATCACCCAGACAGCAAGGCGGAAGGCTGATACATTCAAACCCCAGACTGAGGGATTCCAAAAGCATCTGGTTTCCTTTTTATCAGTACTTCCATAAGCCAAGAAATGGAGGGAGGGACTCCAGACTGGCCCACTATAAGCCCGTGAGTGGGCAGCCTTGTACCCCTACCCTGCAGAATAAAAGCAGCTGAAGACATGCAGTTATATTTTTCTCTAACAGAGCTGGGTTACACAATAAAAATACTGTGCAATACGATCTTGTCTTGGGTATCCTAAGTAAATATCCTCGCATGCTAAAATATCCTCTGTTTCCATAAGATTAGCAATGACAGCAGCGGTACTGCACACACGAGCTAGTTCTTGCTCTCCATCACCTTGCTATGAGACAGCAACAAGATGCCGGCTCCAAAGAAGGGAGACTGGTTTCCATTTGGTCATTTGTGAAATCAAGTTCAATTCCTTAAATTTATATCACCATTTTTTGTGTTCAAAATTATTAAATTTTCATCATAAAACAGCAATAACTTTGTCCTCTAAGTAACAGGTTGCTATGATAAAACTCAGATCCATTCAAAGTTACTTGGAAAGATCTAGATGAATAAATTCAGCTATGTTCTTTTGCTTAAATCTTAAAGGAAACAACAGCCTCAATCAAATTCTACGATCTCAACACTGATCTTTTAAAAAGTGCAGAAGTCAATTGCGGCTGAAATATAATCTCAGCAAACACTTCAAAAAATACACTTCCTGGGCTGGCCTGGTGGCATAGTGGTTAAGTTCGCGTGCTCCACTTCAGTGGCCTGGGGTTCAAAGGTTTGGATCCCACATGTGGACCTACACACCACTCACCAAGCCACGCTGCGGTGGCATCCCACATACAAAACAACGAAGACTGGCAGAGATGCTAGCTCAGGGACAATCTTCCCCAAGCAAAAAGAGGATGATTGGCAACAGATGTTAGCTCAGGGCTAATCTTCCTCTCACACACACACACACAAAATATATATACATATTTCTTGTCCTTATAATAAAAATAAACATCGCAACTTCGAAACAACAAACACTGTTTGCATCAGCTTAGCTAATAATAAACTATTCCAAAACGCCAAAAAGTTATCTATTTATTTAACCCCAGGAAAGAGACAGGGTGTACAAATTCAGAGAAGAGAAGCTGGAGAAGTGCTGTAAAACACTCTGGAAGGCACCAGGAATGAGAAAAACGACCTGTCAGAGGAGGCTATGCCTATGCAGGGTTGGCACCTGCTACGTAAGAACATATATAAAATGGACAGAGAACAATGAACCAGATGATGTTGCCAAACCTCTTCAAACTCTCTTTACAGTGACCACAGAAGACAAACCTTTATACGGCGGCAATTGTGACACGTGCACACGTGACACACGAGACTGAAACAAAATTTCATCAGTGTATGTCACACACTCATATTTTCTATTCTATGCTATTCTATCAAAAATAATAACAAAAATGCTGGTTACTATACACTTCATTATTTCAGCAGTCACTAATGAGTCCACCTGAGGTTTCAACAACACTGGTGTGGTTTTCAAAACCTTCCCACATTATCATCCAGATTCTCTCCTCCCAGTGGCATGAGCAAGAAGAGGAGGCTGCTGACCTAAAGGAATGAGAAAATTAGTGCTTTTGATGAAAAATTCAGTGACGAATGGCATCTCTTAAATATAAACAAGTTTTTAATTCATATAATATATCCATTGTTACAAAAAAAGTCTTTTTGAAAACAATGTCTTCATATCCCATAATTCAGAGAGCAGAATTTCTGGGCGAAGCTTGGTTTGTCCTCTCAGGGATTAACGTCATGGTTTGAAGAGTTTAACCAGCCAGGCTCGGGCAGGCACAAAGGCGCAATTTCCCCACGGTGCCCGCGAGATGCGTGTTCACAGTCACTTCCCCTCCTGGAGAAGCACAAATAGGTGATGTGTCCAGTGTTCGCTGCGTGTGATTGCTATTAGGCTCTAGAAATACCAAGGACTGTTAGCACCTACTAACCTCAGGAACTGATGAGGCCGTCTCAAAATCTGCATGCCAGCCTAAACCAGAAAGGTCAGCCCAAAAATACAGGCCTCGGGCCTATAAAATGTCCCCATGCATGTGCACGTGTAAGACAACCAGTAACTAAACCATGGCACCTCCTAAAGAAGAGGTCAAACGCCTTTCAGATTCTCAGTCTAAGGTGGGTTAAAGAGTATTTCAGTGTTCAAGAAAATTCAAACCACTTCTTAGGCAAAAAGACGACCTCAAGGGATAAAAATCCAAAATTTGACTTCATTGCGTTTGTGTTTTCAGTTTCTTTCTGAAAAAGTCTGTCTGGTCTTAAAATACAGGGGGACCACCAAGTCTTGAAATATTGGCAAATGCACAACAAATGGTTTATTGATATTACACTGCCATACAGAAGACGATACTATCTCTGTTTCCAGACTTCATGGCCATTCTGAAGATCATTAAAGAAATAAAGAAAACAGACTTTAAAAACATATAGGGCTTCTCCTCCACCAGGCTGCCAGGCCAACGTCCCAGCTGGGCTGTTACATAGGTTCAATCGCACGGTACTTTCTCTCCTGAGTAGCATCTGTCACAGTGAATTAACTGTGCCTGATTTCTTTGTTTATTTAACCTCCACCGGTAGTCTCTAAACTCTATGTGCATAGCAACTGTCTTATTTATAGGGCCAACATATAGCAGGTATTCAATAAATACGTTAATTTCCTATTGGACAAACTTTTATGTGTTCTTTCCGATAAAAGGTAACTTAGGGCATTTGGGTTATGTGAATTTCTCAACACTAGCAACAAGAAAATCTCAACAAAATCAACACAGATTTTGGGGCTGAGAACAGAGGGCAAAAGGTGTATTAAGAATTATAGGGGAGGTGCTGGCCCTGTGGGGAAGTGGTTAAGTTAGCGCGCTGTGCTGCAGGCAGCCCAGTGTTTCGTTGGTTCGAATCCTGGGCGCCGACAGGGCACTGCTCATCAAACCATGCTGAGGCTGCATCCCACATGCCACAACTACAAGGACCCACAACTAAGAATATACAACTATGTACCGCGGGGCTTTGGGGAGAAAAAGAAAAAAAAAAAAAAAAAGAACTACAGGGGAAAAAATTAGCCTCATCTGATGCTAGCTAACATTACAACACTAAAAGGCAGTGCTATTTTTTGACATTTATAGGCAATATGTTCAGTTCTCCAGTGTCCTATTCCCTTTTACAATACACTAAATAAGTAAAAAATAAATAAAATTTTGAAAGGCTCTAAAATGCACTAAAATTATTCGAGCAAGAAGTTCCAGGAATGTAAAGAACTCTAGATTTTGTAGTTTCAGGTATAGTGAGGCCATCAAATTATTTTAAAGTTTACAGTCCAGAAAACATCGTGGGGCTTTGAAATATCCTAGATATAAGCATTTTTAATGATCACTCACTGCCTGCCAAGCTCGGTCAAAGTCCTTTCACACGGACAAGCTTGCTGAGTAGCTGTAATTATTTTCATTTTACAGGCAGAAACTGAGGCGCAGAGACCACTCGCCAAAGTCCAACTCTTGAGTTGGAGAAGAGGATCTCCTTTCTTTGATTGAGAGCTCCCACGACAGCACAGCGAACAGGGCAGCACTGCCACTCTTCCGAATAGATCATTCCTCTCCCAAACCTCTCCTGACCACGTACACCTGCACCCCGGCACGCGATGCTTGTCATAGCCGGTTGTGCCGGAGGAGGCACCCCGGCGAGCACAATGCACACTCAGGGCAGCGGCAGGGACACGGCCTCGGACCTTCCAGCTCCCGGGCTGCCTTTCCGAACGATCGCGCTCGTTCAGCCACAGGCGGGTCCTGCCCGCCTCCGCCGACACGCGCAGCGCACTCCGCCCACGTGCACAAACTCTCGGAGTTTACAAAGGGAAGCGGGCGGACCGCGCTCAGCCTAACAACTACACGGGCAGCTGCACGAGAAGTAAATGCGACGTTCGTACGACCCCTCAGCCCCACCTGGACCCGACAGCTCTGCACAGGGAGCCCGGGAAGCCACAGCGCACAGGCGGCGGGACCAGCGCCGGGCCGCCGAGGCCCTGCCACGAGGAGCGGGGGACGCGGGGCAGGCGGGCCCGCCCCCGACGGGGCCTCGGCGCGGGCAGGGGCGCGACCGGGCTGGGCCGGGCCCAGGGGCGCCCGCAGACCCCCAGCCGCCGGCCCCGGGGCGGAGGTTCCTCCCCCGCGCGCTGGGGGCGCCGGGAGCCCCTCGCCGGCCGGGCGCGGCGCGGGGGGGGCGGCGCTGGAGGAAGCCCTCCCGCCAGCCCGCGGGCACTCAGCCGGCGCGCCGGAGGGCTGAAGGTCACCGCGCGGAGGCCGGGACGGGGCCCGCGCTCACCATTCGCGCGGCGCTCGAGGGCCGGCAGGGGAGGGCCGCCGCGCCACAGGAGTCCGGAGCCGAGGCTGCGCCCGGAGCCCGGAAGAGGCGCCGTGGGCGCGCGACGAGCCGGAGCGCGCGGTACATGGTGCCGCGAGAGTCAGGGCAGAGTCCCCGGGCGCTGTGGCCACGCCTCCGCGCCGGCTGTCAGAACCCGCCCCGCCCACCGGGCTCCGCTCTTATCCAATCAACGGCCTCGAACCGAGCGGACGAGGCGGGACCAATCGTGAATGGCCAGTAAAGAGTGAGGGGGCGGGCTTAACTGCCTTGTTGTAGAACAGACATTTGAAGCCCTCGGATTCATGGGAAACTAGAGAAGGGGGTTATGGGAAAGGCGATGCCAGAGAGGGAGGGTACTAGCTAATGGATCGTCAGTTGCTGTTTGCTTGGTGGAGTAGCCTAGGAAGAAATATTTATTTATCATGTAACCGCTCATTACGTGTTCTTTCTGTTGGAACTTTTTTCCTTATTCCAGATTACAGTTTCAGGATGGAAATTTTGAAAAGCACAGCAAAGTATAGAGAATGAAATAATTATCCAAATGTCAACACTTAAAGATAATTACTCATTTCTTTTAACTTGTCATTTTGAGATCTCTACAATTTCCTTTCTCTCCTTAATGTGTACTCTCAGAACGCTCTTTTAAAATGTAGTGTGGAAGATGTCCATAATTATAGGCGATTTGGGAATTTTTACTGTTTGCATTTGTTTTACAAGTTTTTTGCGTTGATAAGATATACATTTTCAAATTAAAAGTATATTGTTTTAATGTAATAGGTGATGACCGAAAAGCAGGAGCTGAGACAAAATTGCACGTGAGCCGCAATTTTGTCTCTTCTCGTTTCTTCTCCTTTCTGTTGGTTGGCACCAGATGACAGTTGCTCAAGAAAGAGAACCCCTAGATGATGTCCAGAAGTCAAAAGTCGAGGACCGGCAAAGCCAAGCTTTTAAGAGTTGGTCTCTGTGAGACCTCTTGGTAACACCATTTTTGTTATTTTGTGGCTTATGAATTTGGCTCATATATATTTAAAGTATGAAAATTTAAATGAAATTTATGAAAATTTAAATGAAAGCATCTTAGTTGAACTACAATCAAAACACTTCAGGAAACCCACCTGAATTCTTTATATCTCAGTATCTCCTCCCTCTGTCAACTGATGATTCATAAATTACTAAAATATTTGATGAAAAAGTGAAACCAAGGATTATCTGGAAATTAGAAGGTCAGAATAAATGAAAAAAATTCAGAATAGAAAGATAATGCAGTGGTTTTAGAAAACAATAAGCCACCTATCCCATGTTTGCTCTTTCCACCACTAAAAGGCAGACAACACTAACATTAAACAAAGCTTAACGTGAAGATAGTATTGTTAGCATTGTCTTTGGTTTGAAAGAAAACTACAGAAACAAATGTTTACTAACAATTACCTAGGAAATGCTAACATTTTAACCAACTAGGTAGCAATTACCTAGTCATTTCCTAGGAAATGCTAACATTTTGAAGTATTTGCTTGATACTCTTCATGAAATAAAAGAAATAACAAATTACTAATAATAGAGTGGCATTTTCTTCCCAATCTTCCCAGCAACTATCATAATTTTGCTATGTCTCCTTTCAGCTCATCTGCGTATTTTTCGCTTTGCATGTTAGTGTGCAAACAATGGTTTTAAAAATTTAAAGTTTTACTGTTCAATAACTATATATTTTGAGGTCTGATATAATCTTTTTAACTTAGTATTCCATCACATGAATATAAAACATTTTACTTACCCAGTTTCCTAATGAAGGGTATTTTTTGCTATTACACACAATGCTTCAATGAACGTAAGTTTGTAATTTCTTTGTAGATGGTTTCTCTCTCTTCATTGGGTAACATCCCTCTTCACTCCTATTGTTCCTTGTTATTTTAAACTTTTTCTGTTATTGATATTTCTATGCCAGTATTGGTTGTCTTGGCCTGATGTATGTTTCTCATTTTATTTTAGACAATTTTGTTTCCTTTTAAATGTATCTTCTGTTTCCACCACACAGTTTAACCTTTTAAAATTCAAATTGATAGACTTTATAAATGGTCTATTTTCATCCTTTTTAATATCACCTATTGATACATGTTATGATCCAGACATTTTTCTAAGCACTTTACATGTATTAATTCTTTTGATACTCAAAACAACCCTACAAGGTAGGCCCTATCATTATTCCTGTTTAGAAATTGATGCCCAAGGGCATCCAGCTAGCCCAGGATCTTAAGTATTTTGAAGGCAATTGTGGCATTCATTTTCTGTATCATTATTAATATTTCCCAGGAAATGGTTCCTGGCACTGCAGAGTGATTAAAAATATTTTTCCGGTTTTACTGAGAAATAATTGATAGACATCACTGTGCAAGTTTAAGGTATACAGCATGCTGACTTGATTTACATATATTGGGAAATGATTATTGCAGTAGGTTCCGCTAATATCCATTGTCTCCTATAGATACAATAGAAAGAAAAGAAAGAAGAAAAGAAAAAAATTTTTCTCCTTGTGATGAGAACTTTTAGGATCTACTCTCTTAATAAATTTCCTGTGTATCATAAAACAGTGTTAACTATAGTCATCATGTTGTACGTTCCATCCCTAGTACTTGTTTATCTTATAACTGAAAATGTGCGCCTTTTGGCCACCTCCCTCCAATTCCCCCTCTCAACCCTCTTCCACCTCTGGTAGTCACATGTCTGATCTCTTTTTATATGAGTTTGGATTTTTTTAGATTCCACATGTGAGACAGTACAGTAAAAAGTAATTTTTAAAAATTAAATAAATGAGTTGTGGCAAAATTTATTCTCCATAGGGTGACAACATATCTCCCATCCCATATGCTCTTCCACAGTGTGACTTTGCCACAGGTGAGTCTAAATGTCCTCCCCCTTCGATTTGGGCTGGCCTTACGCCTCATTAATAATCAATAGAATCTGGGAAGAGTGACTGCTGAAGCTAGCTCAGAAAAGACCATGCCACTTCCCCATGCTTTTCTTGGGACCCTGCTCTCTGATAAGCCAGCCACCACGTAAAAAGTTCAACCACCCTGAGACAGTCGTGCTGGAGAGGCCACATGTATCTATTCCAGTCAACAGCCCTAGCCGAGCTCCCAGCTGACACCCAGCATGGATTCTCAGCCATGTGAGTGAGCCGTCTTGGATATCAGGCCCAGATAGACTCACGTGACTGGAAATCCACAGATGGGCTAGGTTCCAAACGAGACAATCTGATTGTTCTAGTTTTATTTCTCTTCTGTTCTCTTGGTTCTACCCTTTTCTTTGTGTAGGTTTCATCTTCAGGTGTGACAAGATGGGTGCAGCAATGCCAGAGCTCGCATCTGCATGTAATAACTTTCAATGAAAGAGAAAGAGGGTTCTCTGCAGAAATTCTCCCAGGAAAATGAGAAAGAACTTTCCCAGAAACCCTTAGCAAAACTCTCTTCAAGTCTCATTGATCCAAATTTCGCATTATATGATGCCTCCAAACCAATCAATAGCAAAGGGAAACAGGATAACCCAGATAAAATATTAAAATGCCATGTACTATTAATTATACTTAAAACATTAATTATATTAAAATATCTTTTCTTCATGAAAAAATTACTTTCAAATTTAGACATATTCGTGTACTGAATGTAACATAGAAATATAACTTTTATACTTGTCTTTCATATGAAAAGTTTTCATTTGCTCCTAACTGGACAGCATTGCTCACTGAAACTTGTAAAAAGTAGAGATAACTTATATGAATATAGTTACAAATAATCGTTCAATATATGTTTAAAAGTTCTTGCTTTCCCACATTTTTATAGCTTTTTCTTTTCTTTAGTATTCATTTTTGGCTTTCTGCAACAGAAATAGTAAATGCTGTAAAACTTATAAATTAAATCTTTTGCTCAACATGCATAACATTATACCCCATTTTCAGAATTTCAGCTGACTTTGAGTGCCACTCTCAAGGGACTTTCTTAGGGTTAGTTTCAGGCTGGACTCAAGGTTGCTGATGTGGCTCTGGTCATACTGTGTCACAAAGAGAGGAGCCCTCTCCATTTTATTCTTCATTTTCATTTCTATTCAAAGTCTCTGTCTACTTTGGTAAGGTGAAGAGCACTTGACAGGCACTCTTTGTATAACGAGTTGTGTGTGTAAGTCCCTGTTTACTGGTACCCAGTTTACTGTCTGCCTCTCCTGGGCCACCCATCTAGCTGACTTCTTTCTATGTCTCCAAACCAATGAGCCAGCTCTGCTTCTTTGCTCTTCCTCTTCATCCCTGGGAATATTGCACACTGGTTTTACAGAACTCATAACAGTAATTTTTAAAAAGTTACAACTGGTTGCTCTAGCCTTCTCAGACTTACCTTTATCGCCTTTTTGATTTCCTCTGACTTCTAGTGAGGTTATTTCTTAAAGTAGAGAAGACGAAGCCATTACTAGGAGTTTGTCAGGGGAGGAGCCCAGTTCATCTCACATCTTCCCACGACAATGTATATTTTCTAGAAATCAAATTATGGCTCCATATATCAACTCCTTTTTTCTGTTTTACTGAACGTGCTTTGTGATCATTAATTTCTTCCTATTTTCTCTTCGTTTATTTTGTATTTCTTTTTTTTCCCCCAACTTCCTGATGACTTGAAATCAGGACGATGTAACCAATGTAACTCAATATTGGTACCCAGACAATTGTAGGTGGCCCGGAATGCAACATTAAATGATATTGACCATTATCCCATTTTCAATTCTCTTCCAGCCCTTCCCATTTAGTAAGAAAGTCTTTTTTGGTGCGAGTGTATATTTTACATGTGTCTAACACTTGCTAATAGCCTCTTGCCAAAAGAGAAGGAAAGCCTTTGACTAAAGTTTTTCTACCAGTGTAGAATGCAGCTACAATTTAGTATTTATTTGTATGTTTCCCTTCTACTTATCAGTAAAACATTTTCCATCTGCAGCAACAATATAAAGTTCCATTTTTATTTAAATAAAGTGTACATCGATTTGAAACAAAACATTAAGTAGATTGTACAGGTGCTATACAAACGATTGAAATTTCAGAAACGTTTGCTTAGTTAATTTAGTTTCATTACTTAATAGTGAAAATGTAAGATAAATACCTTAATAATGAAGTAATTACTGTTGAAATTAATTTCTAGGCCCAAGATGGAGCAGCTCCTGCCCCGGGTGCTCCGTCAGTAAACGGAAACTCAGATCACTTCATGTCCCCGTGAATGCCCCGCTTGACCAGAGACACAGTGTAGCCAATCAGCCAGGCTCCAAATGCCAGGCCAACTCTGGGCCTTCTCACCCCCAACAAGGTGACCACATGGCCCCAGCCAATCAGATACTTTCTCTTTTTCTCTGTCTTGTTCTTTATCCTATAAAAGCTGCCTGCTTTCTGCCCCACCTTGTAATTCTCTGAAAGGAGACTATCCACCCGATGAAGTGTTAAATAAAGTTTCTATGTATCACCTAAATTGTCTTCTTTAATCATTTTTTAACATTACTTAATAGTGAAAATGTAATGTAAATGCTTTTAAATTAATGGTTGACACTATACACCTTCATTTAAGGATGTAACCTTTTATCTATGTAAAATAATGTTTTTATTTTGCTTAGAGGTCTGTGGGTTTTTGCCTTGAACTTTGTCTGATGACAATATTGACCTCTTTCTTCTTTTGACGTTTGTTTGTTTGTTTGGTTCATGTTTGTCTTTTACTTTGCTTTCTGTTCTAGTTATGGGACCGGATGTCCTGCCTTGAGGGCCAAATGAACAATGCAATGGTTTTCTCTTCCTTCTGGTCTAAATCCCAACACGTTGTTGACAAAATTGATAGTAAGTTCCAATTCTTATCAGTCAAAATATTCTCATTATTCTAAATAAAGATTTTGAAGATTTGAATTTAGGATATCTCCCAGCCTGGGAGATTACTGGAGGTTTCTTAGAGGAAACTTAGAATGTTTGGAAGATACGGCTGTACAGATCTCCCAGAGAGTAGAGCAAATGTTCAAAGAGAAGGAAAATAGGAGAGATAAGTTGGAAAAATTAGAGAAACAGTCCAGTATGTCCAATATCTGGGTAATGTTGGAAGACAAAGTGGAAAAAACCACTAAACAAATAAATTCAAGAAAATGTCTTAGAATTAACACATATGGGTTTTCAGAGTAAAAACTGTTGAAAAGATAAACTGAGACATCTTACAAATTTTATGAGTTCATTTGAGCAAAACTCAATTCGAATCAGGCAGTGCCAAACTGGAAGTGGTTAGGAGGGCTCCACGGAAAGGAGCCAGGGGAAAGACACTTAGAGAAGGTGCAGAAGCTAATAAAGGAAATCATTTGATTGGCTGGAGCTTAAAGCCTCATTGGCTGATTGTGATTGGTTGTCCTTGGATTTCGCTTTCTTAACCTTGAGGCATTGACAGCTTAGGTTTTGATTTGCTTACTAGACCAGGAAAGCTTTAGAGCCTCAGCCTGATGGCCTCCTTGTTTAATTAATCTAACAAAGCCCACAAAGTGGGCCAGAAAAATGGGCAACAGAGGCCAGCACAAGTCATGTCATCAAGAAATGTTAGAAATCTAGGATCAAAGGGAAGAGCTTCCAGAACAAAAACAGTCACAAACAAAAGATTGGGAATTTTTATGACTTCTCAACAGCAACACTGGAAGCTAGAGGACAATTGACTGATGTCTTCAAATTGCCCAAGGAAAATTATTTCCAACTTATTCCATATTTATTATACTACATTATATTTACTATGTTATATATCTATATGTATTATTTAATATTCTATATCTATACAGAATATATATTGAATTTATATAGAATATATATTGACTGACACCCAGTCAAATCAAATGTGAAGATACGATAAAAATATTTTCACATGGGCAAGATCTTGAAAAACTTACTTCCCATCTACCCTCTTTCAAAAAACCCCTAGAGAAAGTACTGCATCAAAACTAGGGAGTAAACCAAAACAGAGGAAGACGTGGGCTTCAGAAAATGGGGTCTCCAACAACAGGAGCTAGACGTTGAAAATTCCCCAGATGAGGGTATGACAGCTTGTACTTAGACAGCAACTATCCCAGAGTGAAGCCAATCAGAGCTTCTAGGAGCTATATTCAACAATATAAAATTTCTAAATCCTTGAATGTATTCATAAGAGATTTAGATGATTGGGAGAGAGTTTGCAGATTGAATTTTTGATGTCTTAGAAAATTCCGCAATGGAAAAAAATGACAGTTATTAAATTGAAAAATAAAAATAGTTGTATTTTGCAGGAAAAAGAATCATTAGTAAATTTGAATGGCCACAGTTATAATAAATCAAATATTGAATTTTGATCTAAGCGAAATTGTGATGTAATGATACTAAAAGAATGGGGAGATGAAAAAACATTAATCCTCATCTTCAGTGGTGGGAAGTCATGACATAAAATCACACACAAAAGAAGTAATAATATTGGCATGCTATTTAGAGATTATGGGCATACATCCCTTGGAGTTGCAAGTGATGGTTCTGGGCAGGGACAAATGGCAGAGAAGGAGACAGACAATTATTGTTTATGTTGAATGTCTTATAGAACTTTTTGATTCTTAAAACTATGTGCATGTACAATAAATTAAAAAAAAACCTAAAATTAACAACAAGAAAGCTAACCAAGTCTCTCTTCATTCTCCAAGAAAACCTTTTTCTCCTTTCAGACCCCTAGGAAACTGTTATAATGTGTTTATTTTGTATTATTTTGTTCATATGTATTCTTATAAAATATGTACTGTTGCTTTGTGCATTTAAATAATTTTATGGTATTGAAATACACATGCTCTTCTCTTTCCTAACCATTTTCTCAATCAGTCCTCTTTCACTAGGTGAGTTACCCATTCATATAGCTTCCAACACCATCTTTATGCTGATGTACTGGTGACTCTAAACTTATTTTTCTGGCCTTGACTCCTCCACTGTGTTCCAGATTCGTATATGCAACCATATACTTAATATCTCCATTTAGTTATCTAACTGAATACTCACATCTCAAACTTAATATACCCCAGAGGGTAAGTCTAAATCCCGCCCCCCATTCTTTTACACTCAGTAAATGGTACCGCCAGTTATTCAAGCTGGAAACCTGAAAGTCGTCCTTGATTCCAGAACTCTGCCCCTGTTCCCCAACATATTGTCGACGAAAATAATCCATAACCAATCTATAAATGAAAATTTGGGTGAGTTTATTCTGAGCTTAAATCTGAGGATTATAATCCGGGGCCTTTCTTCCCAAAGGAAGAAAGGGTACCAAAGAAGTGGGGTGCACAGACTGGTTATATACCCCCAGAAAGGAGTTTCACATAGGATTGAAATGTCCCTTTTACAATAGTCGCGAGACTGCTCTGTCGGCACAACGATTGATGGAAACAGCAGGTAGGTCTTCTGTCTCAGTGAACACAGCAGGGTGGCAGTCTGCTGTCTCCAGCTGAGTGTTCACAGGTGAGCTGGGTGGTCAAAGGTGAGTGCAGCAATCAGTTCCTAGCCTAAGGAAAAATGCTAATGTAGGGGGAAGTTGCACCTTTATCTCAAGGGCCTTTGTTCTGGCCATAGGAAATGTCTAAGCAGATATGCAATGCGTGCTCAATAGCCACAGTCAGGCCCTTTTGGAAAAAACAAAGTCAGGCCGAATTAGGTTTATACCAAATGGCTTCCTCATATACTCCAATATATCCTATTGCTTGCCATTTTTATTTGTCAATATGCATACACTATGTTCAATTTACCAAAAAATCCTGGCTATTTTACCTCAAAATTATATCTTGAATCCATCTACTTTCCTCCCTCTTCACTTTCACTAATATTTATTTGCTAATCAATTAAGTAGATAAATAAACCAGGTTTCATATAATAGTAAATGCAATAAAAGAAATAAACAGGAAGACGTTAGAGAATGATGGAGTGAGTACGTCTTTTAGAAAGAGTGATCAAACTCAGGATATTGTATTTGAGCTGAAAGCCAGTCATGCAAAGCTAAGAGGACAGCATTCCAGGCATGGTGCTGCACATGCAAAGGGCCTGGTGAAATGAGTAAACAATTACTGAGCAAGCTGATTCCTCGAAAAAAAAGTGAGACAATAGTCTGTCAACTTCAACAGTATGAGAATTAGAAAACAACAGAGCAAATATTGTATTAATTTCCACTAAATTTTAATTTTTTATAAACTTTTATTACTCCCAATAATGCTGATTTGTCAAATTTATAAACATAGGTAGAGAAAAGTAGAAATATTCAGGTTCTTCTGTAAAATAAATCATACTATAAAGTATGCTCCTCTTGGAGTCATTCTGTTGGAAAAGGGCCTGTTTTGGGGATTAACAAAGAACTGCATCCCAGTGAGCATGAACTGATCCAAGTTACCCCAAAGATCCCTAACTTGTCCCACAGCCTCAAGTTCTTCAGGCTCAGAGGATGGGGGAAAACCAATTTAATAACTTCTTCTCTCCCTCATAGAAGTCCTCCAGGGAAAGAAGATGTGATCTTGAATTTTCCTGAGGCCCCTCCAAGATAATTCTTTCTACTTGACTTTAGGAAGAACAGAGGGATAAGTAGCCATGGTCCAAATTGTAGTTAAAACTACATTTTAGTCATTAAACTTTGTTCAAGCTTTTGATGGCCTTTCTCTTAGCAGGCACCCAGGGCCCTCATGCTGTCCTTCAATTTCTGAAACTCATCAATTATGTCATTCTACCCAGATCTGTCTTCTCCTGCCCAACCTCACACGAAAAGTTAATTCTCTCTTCCTTCCTCTTATAACACAAAGAACATCAAATCCACATCATTCAGGTGTTGTTATAAAATGTAGCTGTTTATAAATTTCAGTTTCATTCAGATTTTGATTATCCAAAAAAAAGGCAAGATGAGACTTGAAAATTGTCACTTAAGAAACAGTCGTGAATACTTACTCTCCCTGTTACAGGGAGTGGGGAAATTCCTAGGAGATAATAGTATAAAATAATTTTATGTATTCTACTAAGAGTGAACTGAGAAAAGAGCTGGAACTTACTACCAAAGTAATAATAATCAGTACTTACCAGTCTGTCGGCACATTGTTTACAGGCTGCATAGAACCACATGACCATTATTAATCTCTTTTATCTCATCTACTTGCTTGATACATGTTTTTTTGGCGTATAACTAGAAAGTTATTTGACTCACCTCATAAATCTAGAAATATCATAGAACAGCAGTTATCAGCATCCTTATAGTCAATGTCAATGTCATAAAACATTATTTTAACTACATCATTTGTGAGGTGGGTCAACAATGTCATACATAAGAGTTAAAGTATCAATATTTTAAAATTATTTTTTAAATAATTAAATTAGATGCAATGTTACTCAGATAATAATATACAATCAGATGTGCTTCTTTGAGTAGAAGAGAAAGGGTAAGTTTCCAGCTATTAAGTAGAGAGTTGTACACCAAAGACTCAAGTTGAAAGATAAAGATTGTAGATTCGATAGATTTT